ATAATGGAAGAAAAATCACTTACAATTAACTTAAAATAGTATATTTTAGTACATTTGTAACAGTGTAAAGGAATGTTCTTTCTGACACTTTTTCATACAATTCAACTAAGATTTTTTTTCTCTTTTGTCTTATTTCCATGAAAGATAAACATTTCTTAGTTACTTCTTTTCTGGTTTGTGTCTGTTTACATTCCTCTAATATTTATTCTAGTGTATTTTTTTCCTTTTCAGCTTTACTGAGATACATTTGGCAAATAAAATCAGATATAATTAATGTATACAGCATAATGTTTTGATATACGTATACTTTATGAAATGATCACCACAACCAAAATAATTGACTTTTTCATCACCTAATAGTTACTTATCATTTTTTTCTTTTCTTTTCTTTTCTTTTTAAAGATGAGAACATTTAAAATTTGCTCTATTAGCAAAATTTAAATACACAATATTGTATTGTTAATTATACCAAATATTAGATACCCAGAACTTATCTTACATAACAGAAACCTAAATTTTTACCAACATTTCTTCATTTCCACCTTCCCCCAATCCCTGGAAACCACCATGTTTATTTGAATGGACATTTTAGACTCTACATATAAGTGGGATCATGCAGTATTTTTCTGTTTCTGGATAGTTTCATTTTGCTTAATGGCCCTTGAGGTTCATCTGAGTTCCTACAAGTGGCACAATTTTCTTCTTTCTTAAGGGTAAAGAATATTCCATTCTATATAGGTGTGTTATGTATTTATGTCTCCCACATTTTCTTTGTTTATCTGTTATTGGACGTTAAAACTACTTTTTATCCTGGCTATTTTGAATAATCCAAYAATGAGCATCATAGTGCTGATATGACTTCAGACAGTGATTTTATTCCTTTTGGATCTAAATTCAGAAGTGAACCTGCTAGATCATGAGACACTTCTATTTTTACTACTTTGAGAAAACGTCATACTGTTTTCCATAATGATTGTACCAATTTCTATTCTTAACAACAGTATGTAGGGTTTCCCTCTTCCCTACATCATCAGCATCTTTTTTTTTATCTTTTTGTCTTCTTGACAATAGCTTTTATTTTTCGGTACTAGATATTAAGCCCATGGGTGTGATGCCACCGAGCTACATCCCCACCCCATTTTTT